AACTTTCTACATTTCATACTACTGATTTACTGTTGGTCTCGAAACAATATTGAAATGCGAAAAATATATTAAGATTACCCTAAAAACTAACTATTAAAATCATCCTATATCGAGCTATCTTTATGAGAATTTATTTTTGTTATATTCCCATTTAAGTATTGTGTTGAGACTAACAGTATATAAGTAGTATGAGATGTATTCACCCAATTTCGTCTAAGGTGATAAAGGACTGGCAGTAGAATTTTCCCACAATCATGTGAGTGGAGCTGACGTTTCCATTCAATTTTACATAGCCTTGATTTCCCAAAAGTTGTTCTCATCCAGGCAGGAGTGGACTGCACTTTCTACATTTCATACTACTGATTTACTGTTGGTCTCGAAACAATATTGAAATGCGAAAAATATATTTAGATTACCAAAAAAACTAACTAGCAAAATCATCCTATATCTAGCTATCTTTATAGGAATTTATTTTTGTTATATTCCCATTTAAGTATTGTGTTGAGACTAACAGTAAATCAGTAGTATAAGATGTATTCACCCAATTTCGTTTAAGGTGATGCAGGACTGGTGGTATCGTTTTCCCGCAATGATGTGAGAATTTCTGTGAATACATCTCATATTACTGACTCCACTTTAAATATGCGTTTACTATTACACATGACGACACTACTCATATTTGATGTAAATAGTTTTCTATACTTTCGTTAATTATTAAATAAATTGTCTAACGCTATTTCAAGATGGATATTTGCGCTTTTCCAATAATCAGATGAATAGGCTTCATTATCACATTGACTTTCACTTGGCTTCACAAAAGTTGATCTCATCTGGGCTGTACTGCAGTTTTTACCTCTTCTAGGCTCAGCTCATTCAATAATTAATGCTAGTCTAGAAAACTACTTACATCAAAAATAAGTAGTGTCCTCATTTGTGCATACAAGTTGTTTGACCTTGTCTTTCATAGCTCCGATGAAGTGTTCAATTGGTCCAATCGACAATCGTGGAAATGTATGCTTTTGAGATGCCTTGAATGCCAGCATTTGTGTCTCTGTAGCCGGGGGGGGGAAACACACGATGAAGCGTAGACTAATCGGAAACTGCATTTCGCTACAGTCGGTATGAAAAAGTCAGTTTTTGAGGCAAATTTGATGTAAATTCTGTATCACCTTGAGCCTGGGACCTTTGATTGTGTGTAGCAAAGACACGCCGGACGGGTCTGTTTGTAGCTGCGCGACGATGTCGCCTCCACAAAGCTGACTCGACGGTACCACTTTGTTTGCTTCGTGCCTCGTTTAGAAAACAGCCTCGCCTCGTACTCGTTCGGCGTCGACGTGGAGCGCGAGGCCGACGAGGATTTGTCGTTGGCGGTGCTGGCGACCGAAGTGTCCGACTGCGCGGCCGTCTGCGACTGTATCGACGACAACGGCCGCTTGAACAAGACGCAACTGCGAGCCGTGGCCGGCGGTCAAGTGGCCGAGCGAATCGTCTTGGCTACCGAGGACCTGCTGACGGAGGAGGGCGGCTTTCCGTGCGCTCGCATCGACGTCTGTCCCGT